GCTGTGTCATGCTACGCCATGTGCGGCCAGCTCATAGGGGCATGGCAAGCTATTTGGATCGTCATGCACAATGTTGGCCAGCTCACCGCATCCGTGCCTTGGCGATCGACCATGCAAAGCAACTGGCCAGCGCCCAAAGCAGCATGAGCAGCACGAGCAGCGTCGCCCCAACGAAGAAAGCTGCCGCCATCCTGCGCTCCAAGCTGGGCTGGCCAGCCGCAACTCGACAGCTCAATCACACATGAACATGGTCGCGCGGCCGCTTGAATGGCGACTCGACGTGCGCGGTTGACTGATCTGGATCAGCTTGCTGTTACTAAATGTTTTAACTAGACCCAACCCCAAGATATCCGGTTCGCTCCGGGTTGTGGGCGTGGCACACGTGTCCTGTGCCGCTGGAGCCAATGCTGCGAATCAGTACCGTAGACGGAAGGCCGCCTGCAGACGGAAGGCCGGCTGCAGTATATAAACCAGCAATTACGCCATGCTCAGCATGCACGTTGACCCACAACCCATCGTCCACCGGTCGCCCGTGTGCGTGGGCATCGGGAAGTGCATTGGCCTGAGGTGGACGAGACCACCACCCACTCATGACGGTGGGCCATGCAGCTGCATGGAGGTCCTTGAGAGACAAGTGCATCCTCAACTACGCTGTGTTGTGCGATTTCAACATTTGATACACAGGTACATGGCGGCTGTTGGGTGTTGGTCAGGGTGTCGTGCGTAAGGACTCGCGGCTTCCCGATGCCTCACCATCCCATGACACACCCAGACTGGGTTCCTCGGTTCTACTCGGTTCCACGCGGTTCCGCCGCTCACGTCGCTGGCGCGTCTGATCCTTGCCGTCTGATATGGAAGCCCGCCTTCGCGATGATGGGGCGGCGTTGCTCAACAGCCCCACAACAGCCCCACCCGGCTGCCCCTCCAGGATGACCTCAGGCCAGGGGGATCAAGCGGCTTTCAACAGCAGTGTTGTATGCTGTTCCCGCCACGTGATGGATCCATAAACTTGCTGTTTCAACATTTACACCATTGAGAACGATCATCTGGGTGCTTTTATGACCCATGTGACAGTGGCTGCGTGTCCCAGCGCGCCCGCCAGGCAGGCGCGGCAGGTGAGCACCACTGGGGATAAACCCCAGCAACCCGCTCCATAGTCATCTCTAAGAAGTAG